GCAGACCTATTTTTAGTCCGGCATGTTTGTTTCTTTTATTTTATCAGTAATTCAGTAACAATACTATTTGAGTAAAGTATACATTGTTGGATATACATTGATTTCGTAGAAAAGTGGATGAAAAGAGACTGGAAGGATTGGAAGAGTTTGTTAGCCAAGTGAGGTACATAAGGTTAGTATGATTAATATTATCGGAATTATCAATTGCTGCAATTTAATCATCTTTTATTTGCTTTACTGACTATCCTTTTAATTGTTTTATTTTTTAAGCATAGCAGACCTATTTTTAGTCCGCATGTTTGTTTCTTTTATTTAATCAGTAATTTAGTAACAATACTACTTAAGTAAGATATTAGTATATAGTTTACATAGTCAATTAAGAGCTCTCTGTTAAGCTTCCACTCTGATCCTAAAAAGCGACGCATTTGCCATTCGCAGTCACATATCAGCCATTTTAGGGGTTCGTGACTAAATGTTAATAAATGCCGGAAATTCATCCAATTTTGACACCCTCTTTATAATAATTTTTGTAAGTAGTTCAATCCCACGAAAGTACCCTTCAGGCCTCAGCAACAAACGTAGCCACAAGATGAATTTATTCTCCTCCGACCCTTTCCAGATCGACTGGCAACATCGAATTAGTATTGCTTCGTGCAATTTCGTTAAGAAGGAGAATTTTCCATTAGCTCATCTGCCTTGTTAGCTGTGATTATTCTCTAATGTTTCCTCGAATTTAACATTTTCCGACATATGCCATCAAGCCCATTCCAGTAAGGTTTCATTCACTGTTGTCCGTTGTCGCAACGAGAAAGTGCCCAAGTCCTATGCACCAGCAAAAAAGTCTTTTCATTCTGTCGGCTTGTGTCGTTCACTTCACCGGCGGCTTCAATTAATTGGAATATTGCAGAAGGCTCGATCAAAATCGTCATTTCGACGCCGCATAATTAAGCAAACGTCAATTCGTCTTGCTTTCCGTTTCGCTGCCAGGTTGATCAGTTGAATCGTAAAAATGAATTTTCCCTCTTTCTCTTCAGCCCCGCTCGCCTTCCCTTCGGACGCGGAGTCCGAAGCGAACTAATTGGTACAGTTGGCAGAAAAACCGTGTCTGGCTGCAGGAAGCCGAGGCAGCCTCCAAATTGTCTTCAGTCGTGAGGGCGGCCGGTCTGGCCAGGTCAGCCGTCGTCGTTGGCCCATTAACGTGATTGCTTTGAATGACCTTTTCATCAAGAACGGCCAAGAGTATCTCTTTCCCGTTAGGACGAGGCGCTCAAAATGGAGGGAAGCCATCAAATCCAGAGCAAAATGGGGCTCTCTCTTGTCTTTAGACTTGACATTAAATCGTCTCATAAGTACACTCACAATCCGCCTTCCATCTACCAAATGTCGGCCATATTTTTGTCGTGTCGTAAACTGGCAGCAGGTGACTGTTGATACAGTTCACTCGACAGAGCCAATTTATTTTTCTGTCAGGCTTTACTACACCATGCATCGGCACTCAGAGTGCCCGTAATCAAATTGAAAAGCATTTTTGGCGATTTTTCCAATGCAATATTGTTGTTAATAGGGGAAACGGCTCCCATTGTGACCTGACTTCATGATTGTAAACGCTAGTTCTAACAAATCTAATCTTTAAAATATGCTATTCTAATAATAAACTGAGCGTCAATGTATACTTA